AAGTATTTTCCCCATAGTTCTCCTTAGGGTAACGGGAGGACACAAACTAGCATCCTTCCGTCACCCTAGGCTCAGTATACCGCGAGCTGTAGCTGAGACGCTGCAGTGTCAACTATGAGGTGAGTGAAAATCACTCACCTCATAGTTCTCCTTTAAAGACTGGACAGGATATTTCTAAATATATCTCATGACAATATTACATTAATCAATATATATCATGACATATTACTAAAAGATATATCCAAGATAGGGAAATAATTCTGAGGAACAGCATTTTTGAGGTACATGTGGCTACTTGTTTGTGACCAAGGAGTAGACAAGCAACATAATAAAATGAATTAACTGTTTATATTGCCATTATTCATATGCCATGAATAACACAGAATGGCTCATGCAATGTTATACATACCCGAAAATTTTGAGCAGGACTCCATTAATTGCAACAGAGAAGTTGTATAATCCAGATGGAAACTGGGGAAGAATCACTAGTATGCCTTGTGGTGTCACACTTTGGACTTCTAAAGCAACTTCATTGACTTTGACGTGTATCTCGGAATGACTGTTGTTGTCAAAATTTGAAAGGTGTATAAAGGCTTTACCACCTAAAAATAGAGAACACAGCAATGATTGGAAGGTTCGTGTTGGTTCTAGGCTGCAAGGGCTGCAAAGTGGGCAGGTGTAACTGGTGGGTCCCCGTTACCTTCTGGCAATCAGATGTTGCAATAAGTAGGATAAAATACTTGTATGTTAAAGAAGGACTCTGGGCAAATAAAATCTGAACCCTTGTAGTGGGCCTACCCCTGCACTGCAAGGTTTAAAAGATAACTATGGGGTCAGTGTTTTTCCCCATAGTTCTCCTAAGGGTCATGGGAGGACATATACTAGCGTCCTCCCGTGATCCAAAGCTCAGTATATAGAGAGCTACAGCTCGCGGTGTACTGAGATGCCGCAGACGGTACGGATCCCGAAATTACTGACGAGATCCGCCCAGCTGCGTGAGAGACAGCTGGCTCTGCCTATCTAGAGGCAGAGCCAGCTGTACCAACCCATCTCCCCTCCGTTGGAGGATCGGGGAAGAGGATCGGGGAAGGGAAGGTGGAATCCCTGTGGGGAGTGGTGACTGACAGGGAGATGATCGAGAAGTGAGCGAGTGACGGTATGTGTTCGCTCACTTCCCGATCTATTGAGCCGACCTGTGACAGTTTCATTGTCACACGTCGGCTCGAACTATGAGGATGAGTGATTTTCACTCACCTTATAGTTCTCCTTTAAGTGCTAGCTTTGCCTAGGGAGCAAAAATAACAGAGATATATATAACAGAGGCTGGCTCCTAGGCCGGTCCCTTCAGCCAGTCTCCTGCATCACTCCAGCGATGGAATGTCCTTCGGTGTCCTCACATCCTAAACACTGTATAGGATGTGATGACTCACAGGAGCTTAGTCCACTGCAGTGGAGGGGGAGAGGGGCTCCAACGACCGCTCTAGGAGCCAGCTGGGATGGTGGATAAGGTGAATATATCTCTGTTAGTTGAGCCCCTAGGCAAAACCAGCATCTATTTGCCTGGAGTTCTGCTTTAACTGTCTTACCTTCCAAAACATAATTAACTTTAGTTGGCACCCGGCTAGGTAACATAGCCAGCACCCAGACCTCCAGCACAGCTTGGTCAATGACTTCACCCTAGTTTGCTGATGACTGGACAAAGAAGAAACAGCAGCAGCACACTGATGAGGTCATCAACCTGCTCACATTTTTCTCTGCTCCTGTTAGCAAGCTCACAGCGTTAGATTGAAAGCAATGATTGGCTCTCTGTGTAGTGGAGGTGAATGACCAGCATGAAAGCAAAGTAGTTAGCAACCTCGGAAGATAGTAAAAAAAATAGGTTATTCCCTTAAAGGAGAACGATGGGGTTAAGGCTTTTCCCCATAGTTCTCCTTAGGGTAACGGGAGGACACAAACTAGCGTTCTCCCGTCACCCTAAGCTCAGTATATAGGGAGATGCTGCTCGCGGTATACTGAGACGCCGCAGCTGAAGCGGATCCCGACAATTATGCCGGGATCCGCCCAGCTGCGTGACTGACAGCTGGCTCTGCCCATCTAGAGGCAGAGCCAGCTGTACCCGCCCCCTCACCCGTCCGTTCCGCCAGTCAGCGCTGGCGGATCGGAGCAGGGAGGGGGGAATCCAGCCCATCCCCTGTCACGGCAAGGAGCCGTGACAGGATCAAGAGGTGAGCGAACGCCGGTATGTGTTTGCTCACCTCCCGATCTACTGAGCCGACCTGTGACAGTCTCATTGTCACAGGTCGGCTAGAACTATGAGGTGAGTGAAAAGCACCCACCTCATAGTTCTCCTTTAACGTCCCTTTAAATAAACCCAGGAATACCCTATTTAAAATTATAAGAACTTTTACATAAATGTACATAATGATAATTCTCAACAAATGATCCTGCCTGCCTTTACATAGATCTAAACATATTATTCACTATTAATGCTTGGTATATCATTCAATAATCACCTAAATGTTTTCTTACCTGCTGTGCTGCTCATGTTTGGAGTGATGGAGGTGATTGCAGGATTTAATGAAGAGTCAAACTGAATCTGTTCAGGGAAGTTGATCCATTGCTGACCAATTTTAATCCTTATATTCCCTCCATACACATTACCAGCCTGGAACAATGACAAATGCGTACATAAAATGTATAGAAAAAGGCGCCCCCAGATTCATTAGCTAGGCACACAGTCATAACACAGTGCTAAAATCTGTGCACACAGTATATGCACGTTGGTCTACTACACGTTTATTCAATTCAAAGGCTAAACCGTTCAGATAAAACCATCAGTGATAATGTGCACCACTCCATGGAATGAGAAATTAGGGAGGAGGTGTAGAAACAGCATAATTCGTGATGACAGCTACCATATCATTGGGGCAATTCAAACTGAGCAAATAATGGAAAAAGCTACAGGCAGGGGTGAAAAATTTAAAATGGAATCCAGGAGCCTGTCTGTCGAGACCAGGAGCCGGCAGGATTTTTCAGGAGCCGGCTCCATTGACAACGACTAGAGAAAACCTCTGAAGTTAGGAGCCAGCTGTGCTTTTTAAGGAGCAATGGCAATCTGTCTTCTGGTATTCTAGCCCAGGTATAGGCAGAGGTTATCTTCAGTGGATAACGCAAAATCAAAACAATTCATAGATTCAGGACTTGTCCCTGCTCTGTTTCCTTCCAGCCCTCTTTACTGGTTCAAAGATGTGACTTCACACCAATAGGGAAGCTTGGTAGATGGGATGAGTAAAATCAAACTTGATTTTCATGGGAAGAGTTGAGATTTGACAGCTGCCTTTATGTCTAGATCTGCTGATCTTTTTTTGGCATTCTGTTTTAACTAACATTTACTTATGCATTGTTCCAAGATCAGTTTGAATTTTCAAAGGTTGTCAGGGGGCTTCTGTTAAAGGCAGATAGATGGTGGCTGTCACAAGAAGCTGCCACAATATGAGCTTAAAAGGAGAACTATGAGGCGAGTGAAAATCACTCAGCCTCATAGTTCTAGCCGACCTGTGACGACGAAACTGTCACACGTCGGCTCAATAGATCGGGGGGTGAGTGAACACATACCGTCGCTCGCTCACTTCTCGATCCTGTCCCTGAAGAGAGCCGTGATTGTCACTCACGGCTCCTGCAGGGATTCCCCCCCCTCCCCAGTCTGATCCTCCAGCGCTGACTGGTGGAACGGACGGGGGAGGGGCGGGTACAGCTGGCTCTGCCTCCAGCTGTCACTCACACAGCTGGGTTGATCCAGACAGTAATGTCGGCATCCGTCCCGGCTGCGGCGTCTCAGTATACCGCGAGCTGTAGCTCTCTATATACTGAGCTTTGGGTGACGGGAGGACGCTAGTTTGTGTCCTCCTGTTACCCTAAGGAGAACTATGAGGAAAAGCCCTGACCCCATAGTTCTCCTTTAAAGACTTTTAACTAAACTTCAGTGACATTGCAGCAGTTTCAGCTTGGATGACTGGACCTTATACACCTTTCCCTGGTATCTTACCAGGTAAAGAATGGAGTTTGCTGGGAATGGGGGTGATTAAAGCAATTTTACTGCTTTGCCCTAAATGAAATGCACGGATTTGCTTTAAGCTGAGGGAGAAGCATTTTCAGAGGAGTCCCAGCAAGAACATAAAAACCAATGCATGTTAATGCCTGCTAAACTAATCCCATTGGTTCGTGGAATATCGAGGGGACAAAGCAGAGCACAATTTAAGTCAAGGGCTTAGTCCACCATGCATCCAAGATCAGAGGGCTCACAGGGGGATGTGACTAATTATAACAGTGCTTGAAGAACAATATTACAATACTTTACTATGTGACATCTGAAGTACATACCTGGGAGGGTGCAACACATGTGATTGTTGTACAGTTATAGGTTTGTAGTGGACATGGATATGAACCAAACACCACCATGCTAACGTCACCAAAGTGGACTCCTATTAAAGTTATTATCTGACCTCCTAAAAATAACAAATGACACTGCATGGTTAGTTCTGTTAAAAACCAAATCTACACAACCAGCAGAATAATTATTGAATTGCTAATGATATCCAGAGAATATCACCAAGTCAGAAAGTCAACTGTATAGCTGTAAACCGAATTTGACATAAGCAACTGCATCTGTATTCAGCAAGCTTTTCACACTGGCTCTGGCAGAGCTGCAGCCACTTGATCTTGCACAATCTAACCTTACTGTCCAAGTACTACAGGGGTTGGAGTATGGAACAAGGAACATCCAGCATTTTCCAAGGCTAAGATTCCGGTTCATTCAGAAAATGAGGGTATCAAAACCATAGCCATTGGGAAAACAGTGACCCAACTGCAGACATCTATGCCAGGATTGGAGTCATCAGGTAGGCTCAGAGCTAGTTTACATAGAAACCTCTAATGACGGACTGGAGTCTACCTCTAAGAGACAATCCATGCACAATGGATAAATCAGTTCTTGGTAGATGTTAGCTAGTAAAACCCCTTGCCTGCTTCTTATATCTTGCAGGGACTTTCAGGGTGGTGAGGTCTCTGCACTTGAAGTCCAAGTTCTCTACTTCTGATGCCTTCACTACAAGAGGCAATTGATGGAGGTGCCCTCCGCACACCTTTCAGCAGTCCCGGCCAACAATCAAATAAATGGTGCTCGAAGTAACTTCACGGATGGCACCGTGCAAAACACAAGATTGAAGAAAATAGGTCACCAGCACTCCATAAGTTAAAATGAATGAGTCCTTTTAATGGACAATGATGTCACAGAAATCCAACATGAGCCGACGTTTCGGGGCCACACAGGGTCCCTTCTTCAAGGCAAGAGATGTGTCACATCTCTTGCCTTGAAGAAGGGACCCTGTGTGGCCCCGAAACGTCGGCTCATGTTGGATTTCTGTGACATCATTGTCCATTAAAAGGACTCATTCATTTTAACTTATGGAGTGCTGGTGACCTATTTTCTTCAATTTTCTTCATTCACTACAAGAGGGACTTCTATTTTATCTTATATTATGGAGATTTCAGTAGAAGGAGCGGGATCACCAGACCTAGGTTAAGAGGTAGGCTCAGCAGGTTCCTCCTACTACAGGCTACCTGCAGAAAACTACAGGAGGTGGCAGAGACTAGACAGGATGGTAATGACTCCCTGCATATGGAGAGAGAGCAGCTGCGAATGGTCTTTAGTACAGGAAGCTCCTGCGCAGAGGCTCTACTCTCAGCATAGTCTATGTGAAGCACAGTGATGATGTTACTGCTACCTTTAACAGGGTAATACTTGGGTTGGCAAAGTAATTTGGTGCACACAGAGTGGATTTATATTGTTAGTGGCTATTGTGAATTATATGTACCGTATTTGCCGGCGTATAAGACGACTCGGCGTATAAGACGACCCCCTACGTTTTATGTTAAAATATAGGTTCTGGGCTATACTCGTCGTATAAGACGAGTATAGCCCAAAATAATGTTTAAATGCACTAACATCCATGGCGGTATTCCCGAGTGTTGCTCCGGGTTAATTTTCAGTACCATAAGCAATAACCCCGAGCCACACTCCGGATTGCAGTCTCTTACCTTGTCCACGATCCGCCGCTGTGTCCTCCGTCTTCTGCCGAGCCAATCACGGCAGTCTTTGTATTAATGAATACAGGCTTTGTATTCATTAATACAAAGCCTGCCGTGATTGGCTCAGCGCGGTATACTGTATGTAGCCGAAGCGACATACAGTATACCGTATCCTTCCGTATGTACCCGGCGTATAAGACGACCCCCGATTTTCGGGGGATGTTTTAAGGTCTCAAAACCCGTCTTATACGCCGGCAAATACGGTAAACAAAAGATGTTGTGCCTGGAATTCAGCTTTGTTTGCTGCTGCTCCTTCACTGCCCAATCACAGGCTAGGGGCAGGGAGGTTACCAATCTTTATTGTTAAGCTGCTTTAGAGAACATGTCAGGTCACCATCCTAACTCTGCTGCGTGGCACAGCTGAGTACATTTTAGGACTAGCTAGACAAAAGTGCAGGTGAAACAGCTCCCGTATACAGTATCAGTTGTGTATTTATCTGTTTGCCTGGAGTTCAGCCGTAGGAAAAGCAATTGATAGTATTCATTTGCATTCAGACAACTCACCGATTTGTGACATAATAGATGGGATGACATTGAAGAGACGGGGTGTGATATAAAAAGGAAGAGAATCTCCACTGGCATGTACTGCAAAACCCATCGGCTTCACATGCACTGTGACTACATGCTTCCCTGGTGGTAGACGTGACTTAGGGCAGCACGTTATACTAGATGTATTCGCATCAGTGATATCACACTCTATCTCATTGATCAGTACATTTATGTCCTCTGGGCTTCTAGAAAAACCAGATCCAGCAATAGTGATGGTATAATCACATCTGCTACCTGCGTAAACAACGGCAAGAAAACAGACAAGTTGGCCATTAGATCCCAGGATTTCACTGACCCAATTATCTCACAAAAAGCTTTGCTCAGGCATTAAATGATCACCATCGTTATTTTATTATTTTTACTCTGTGTTAACATTATCACGAGAAACATCATCACTTTTCACCCCTAGCTCGCTTTGTCCCATTGGCGAGGTTAGCATCTTCCCAATGTTTCAACACAATTGTGAATTGCTCGCACAGAGGCCCCCTGGTGTAACCTCTCCCCCTTATATAATAGACATGCATGGGATGGAGGACGCGGCGGCTATCGTGGTTCACTTGTGAAGGTCGTCAGGGCTGAGGAGAACTGTGGAGACGCTGCCTGCAGTCTCTTTGGTCACAACAAAAAAACCAATACCGGCGCCTCTGGTTGCAAGATGGGCTGGTTATGAAGTTTGTTTAAACACTCAAAGGGCAGCTCTCACTGGTCAAAAAGTCCATCGATCTAGGAAACAAGGGACAAGACAGAGCGCCTCCATAGTGTAAAAGGGTAATTTATTTGTATGACACGCAAATGAAAATGTACTTACAGGAAAGTCGGTGGTTAAAAGCATACAAATGGTGATGAAGTATAAAATCTCTAGCAGCGGAAGTCTGAAGGAGTACAACACATCAGCGTCCTCTGCCCCCTGGAGTTCTAAAGGTCTACGCGTTTCAGGTGCACGTCCCCTTCATCAGAACCTCATCAGAAGGGGCATGCCCCTGAAACGCGTAGATGTGGGGGACGCTGATGTGTTGTACTCCTTCAGACTTCCGCTGCTAGAGATTTTATACTTCATCACCATTTGTATGCTTTTAACCACCGACTTTCCTGTAAGTACATTTTCATTTGTGTGTTGTACAAATAAATTACCCTTTTACACCATGGAGGCGCTCTGTCTTGTCCCTAGTCTCTATGGTCATTTGATCTGGATTGGCAAGTTTTTGGAACACGAACAACCTTGAAAGATTGGTCCAAGTACAGTTTAACCACAATTAGGATAAGCACAGGCGACCATACATCCTCATCTGCCCTTGGAGTCCCTCAACTGGTTAGCCCGGGGTTCCCAAGACAACTCTGGTTACATCGGCGGATTACTATCCCCGTTTCCACTCGACACAGGGAGCTCTGCCCATATCCAGTTACCATCAGTGGTTGATTAATCCATGATCCCCTGATGAAGCAATGTGTGAAATGCGTTGGTATTGGATACACTGATCTCCCACTGAATATATACACTGAATATTTAGTGAATGGAATTGGATATAAGGGGATATAAGATGTTGTATGGGCCTATGCTGCTGTTCTAAATTATGTTGCCTTTGGTTTAGTGTGAAGAATTTGAATAAATGTTTTTATATTATTTATTATATGTAAAATAAATTATATTTTTATACAAACAATTAATGCTGTAGTGGTATACTTCTCATAAACCCCTGCTTTCTCTTTATTGGTATAAATCTTCCCAATGTTTGTCAATTGAACAAGGCATCAGACACCGCACAGTGAAAGGAGAGCTAGATGAGCTTCCAAATTGTTGTGGTGGGATCAAGCCATCAATATATTAATTCAATTGCTACAACTCAGTGGGGCCTGGGGTAGAATCATGCCATCAACAGCTTGGGATCCCAGAGCCAACAGGTCATATAGGGGCTCTAATGTGACCAACCCCAGGAAATCTAATGACTTCTAGGTCTTTACAAATGTATACAATCATCCCAGTTGAGGAAAAGTTACTTTCTTAATCCGTATCATAAAATCTACTCTTTCTATCCACTCCTCAACTGTATCTGATACTGAGAATATCCACTTTTGAACTATCAACTTTCAAGCCACAAAAAGTGACCTAATCAATGCACAATATGTTGACCTGTTGTACTGTGAGACCTCCAAATATTGCAAAATCATATTTAAAAATCACATTGAATATTGCTTTCAAAAATGTCATTTAACTTTTCTACTTTCTTCAATATCCTCCCAAATGGACATTGTGCTTTGCCACACACACATGGCCCAGACTCTATTCACTTTAACAAAAAGCTTGTCCACCTTCTACGGCCCACTTGCTAGGTGTAGAGGTGGAGAGGGGTGTAATACCCTTAATTCCCTGCAAGAGGTCTCTCTTAATAAACAGTATATAAGTAGGGGAGAGTGGAGGTGAGTGGTTGGCTGGAGTTCGGCAGCAGAGAGTAAAGAGATTGAAGATCTTCTGTTGGCCTTTGTGGGAAGGACATGGCCTCAACTGGCAAAATATAGCCTCCCAGTTATCCGGTGCTCCCCTTCGGGGGGAATACTGCTGTTCTTCTCCCCTATGTGGGTTATCCAGAGTAGCTGTACACTTGGTAGGAGAGTATTCCATTTCTTTGAGCACAAGTCTTAGATGGACTGGACAGAAGAAGAAGAATTTACTACTGTTGAATAGTTAAAATACACACTGATGTTCTCCTATATACAGTACACAAGTTCAAGCAAAGCATTGTCTGGGCCTCTTCAATCTCACAAGTAAGTGTGGCCTATTCTGGGGCACACATTAAAGAGCAATCAGTTCGGGGCAGGAAGATGGTGATGGTACGCCAGTGAGTCAGAACTGGAACCACAGATACCTCGGAGGATTCCTTCATATGTATTCCCTGCCCAAAGGTCACATTGGTTGACCTGTTTTCACATGTTTGGAACGGGTGGGCCGAGTATGGGGCTTCGGCTCACCTTCCCTGCAAAGCTGTGCAGCCCCTGGGACAGGATAGCTGGCTACACAACTCCAGTAGCATCGGGTTATCTTTTAGAACCTGACAATGGACCTTCCACTGAAGTGAATGGAGTTTGGTCCACCCAGCAGTGTGTCCACACTTGTGGGCACACTGACCAGCTGGGAAGATTGTAGAAGAAAGGTTCAATGTCAATTGGCAGGCTGCACAGTTATTTTCCTTTTATATGCAAGTATAACCTATTTAAAAATTGATAGGGAAGGGGGCCTATCTACAGATACGTGCACTTAGCAATACAGCTTTTGATTGGAAGTGGAAATAGGAGTCACCAGAAGAAGAATACACACATTTACACAGAAGTAGTGGGAACTGGACACAGGTCTCCAGCACTGTAATGCTACCAGAGATATCAGACATGCTATAAATACCTGAAGAGTACTGAATGTCTGTCACTACTGGGGTCACAGTCATAAGATGTTGGAAGGTACAAGAACCTGAACAATTGGCCGGGATGTCATTCACATGAACAGTGACCTGCCAAGGAAGGAAGAGCATCACCATACAAGATTAACATTACCATGACCTATGAAGGGTGGCAGTGATTACTAACTGAGTGACTGCTCCCTTTAGTAGCTTATCCACAAATCTTAATATATTAAGTACAAATGTCCTTTCAGCTTAAATCAGCTAAATACATTCCAGGTGTATCAAAACAAAAGATGTGCAAAGCCTTATGGCTGTTTTTTGTTAGTAGGCAGCCACAGCCTGAGTAGAAAGGCCTGTTCCTGCCAGCATGCAGCAGAGAAGGACCCTTTCTCTCTTTGTAACAGCAGTGGTGTCTCTGCAGAGGTCTGACATACCCCCTGCTGAGTCAGCCAAACCCATACTACCTGCTGATTGGAGAGCTATAGGTCTGACTCTGCAGACGGTGTGTTGGACCTATGCAGAGAGTTCACTGCCTCCTCCCAGAGAGCAGGAGTCCTTCTCTGCAGCATGCAAGGGACAGGCTTCTCTTCTCTACTCAGGCTGTGGCTGCCTACATAAGAAGACCAACTGTAAGACTTTGCACATCTTTTGTTTTGTTGCGCCTGTTGGTTACGAAAAGGGGTCTTTGGTGTCCAATAGCCAAAATAAGACTCGAGTCCACATGCTCGAGGACAGCTCCAAAATTGACTATCGCAACTTCCCAAGGGATCAAGTCCCATCAAAAACTGACACCAAAATGGGGAGCACAATGCCACCAGATGGGCCTCCCCACTTTGTAACCATCTCACGGACCCCAAAGAACCCTTACCCTGCCAAGCAGCCATGACAAACACATGTAGTTCAAAAGCCGTCAACAGTTTTGAACAAGTGAGGGCAGGTGGGACAACAATCTTTCCTCATCCACTGTCCAGAAAAAAACTCCCAGCAGTCTCCATAGATCCTATGCCTACCACCTGACCCATGATCTCCAATCAGGTAAGGCCTGCTATTCTTCTTAATTTTTAACCCTCTCCCTGGGACATTTCCTCCCCACAGTCATGAAGCCCCATCCACTTATTTCTCCAGGTCTGTCTGTTTTGTTTTTTTCCTTAGGTCTACCTGTCCATTCAGTACATATCTATTAATTCTGACTCGGTTGTGGCTCAGAATAAGACTCATTTACCTGAGGAAGGAGGTTTGCGGATGCTAACATATCACCAAATATTGGCCATATGAACACTCCTCCATCAAAAACCACCCGTGTTATAACTGTTGGGTTCAGTCCTGTCAGATTGTCTGCAGTAACCTGTGTCAAGAGAAAAAAACATCAAACCAATATATTCTCCATAAAGACAGCAAAGGAACTGAAGTGGGTGTGTTTGGGGTTTCCTTAACTGCATTCCAAGCAGGGGTTCCCAGATCGCCAGATTACGAGCAGAGGGGGAGAGGGGTGGACTGCTGCATTACAGCAATATCAGAAATAGAAGGTGGAGCCATGTCTCTGTATATAGGGCTCTGTATGTAAGGCTTCATATCTAGTGCTCTGTATATAAGGCTTTGTATATAGTTCTCTGTATATAAGGCTCCATATTTAATATTCCTTATACAGGGCTCTGTATATAGTGCTCCATATACAGGGCTCTGTATATATGGCTCTGTATACAGGGCTCTGTATATATGGCTCCATATATAGTTCTCAGTATATAGGGCTCCTTATAGAAGGCTCCATATATAGTTCTCAGTATATAGGGCTCCTTATAGAAGGCTCCATATATAGTTCTCAGTATATAGGGCTCCATATTTAGGGATCTTTTAGGGCCATATATATAGTGCTCCGTATACAGGGTTATGTATATAGGGCTACATATCTAGTGCTCTGTATATAATGCACCATATATAGGATTCTATATATTGTGTTCCATATACAGTAGACATGTGCGATTCGTTTCGTTCCGAATCGAAATTCGGACGAATTTTCGGAAATTCGGATGTATTCGAATTCCGAATTACAGACATAACGAATGCAAACGAATCCGAATTTCCATTTCCGAAATTCGGTAGCGGTAGTTCGAACGTTCGTTTCGTTTTCTGTTCTTATTCGTTTCTTATTCGTTTCTTAATGGTTTCGTTCGTTGGAGCAAAGTGACATTAGAGAAGGAGAAAAATATTTTTTTCCCCCTCAAATGTCACTTTGCTGCAAACGAACGAACGAAACGAATAAGAAACGAATAAGAACAGAAAACGAAACGAACGTTCGAACTACCGCTACCGAATTTCATCCGAATCCGAATTGACTTTCACACCCGAATCCCGAAAAACGAAATAACACAAATCCGAATTTAAAACAAAACGAAACTAAATAAATTTTTTGGCAGTGCACATGTCTAATATACAGTATATTGCTCTATATAGGGCTCCGTATACAGGACTCCATATATATGGGATTATGTATACAGTATATGGTACCATATATAGTGCTTTGTATATAGGGCTCCATATTTAGTACTCTTCATGTAGGGCTCCATATATAGTGCTTCATATACAGGTCTCCATATATAGGGCTCCGTATACTGTATAGGGCTTTGTATATAGTGCTCTGTATGTAGGACTTCATATATAGGGCTCCATATATAGCGCTCTTTATATAGGAATCCATATATAGGGAACCATATGTAGCATTCTGTATATAGGAATTCATATATAGGGCAACATATATAGGGTTCTGAATACAGGGCTCCGTATATAGTGCTCTTTATATAGTGCTCCATATATAGGGCTCTGAATATAAATCTCAAGGTTTCATTTAATATTTTAGCCTGCAGTGCACTGTTATGTCAGGTATACATTGCTGTCAATGAGGCAAAATTAAAATAGTTAACACATACCTGGATGAGATCCGGCAAGTCTCCGGTCCTATTAGTCCAATACAAGGTCCAAACAATATGATGGCAGGAATACACATCCCTGGTAACAGTAAAGTCTGGGGTATTAATGTACTGAACCGTGACATCATTGACGTTGAGAATGAGTATTTCCCGTAGGTGTAGCGGGGAGATGTGGACCGGTATTCCTTCAAAAAGCAAAATACGGGCGCAGTTACAGGGAGATCACATGTTTTTAATCGGATATGATTGAAAAATGTGTACATACTGGGTGAAAGTTATGTGAATCTTGAATGGAAACATTCATAAATAGACTCCATACTCTAGGTCTGCGTTTTTCACACACTGACTATATATTCTGACATGCAAGCTCATTGAATGGCCAAGCCATGTATATTACAACCTTTGCTGTAGTATCATTGCTATTATTTTTAGCATTCGGAAGGTTGTATGATTGCCTACCTGGTATGATCGTGCCCGATAAGTGAATGGTAAAGGTTCCTCCAATTGGTGGGCTTGCCGCTTGTAGTCTTGTAACCACCAATGAAGTTACTTCATTTACTTGACTCGGTGTCTGCCGGAGCTGATCTGTTCCTGGATCTTCCATGGTAGCTCCACTATATTCAAAGAAGTCACAATGAAGATTTAATGGCCCCCTGTATGTAACTTTTACATTCTCCTCTTTTCCTCTTCTCATGCTTCAGCCTCGCTCCCCCTCCGCTCCAGTGGTCTAAGGTCCCTTGTGAGTTATCACATCCTATATAATGTTTAGGACATGAGGATGCTGAAGGACATACCATCGTTGGAGCAGAGGGGGGAATAAGGCTGAAGGGACCGGCCTAGGAGCCAACTGGGTCCGAGGACTTAACCCTTGCAGTGCGGGGGTAGCCCCTCTGCAAGGGTTACGATTTTATTTGCCTGGAGTTCTTCTTTAAAGTGCCCTTACATATTAGAATTATAAAGTAGCTCAGCGATGTAGTTATATGAAGTGTGCAACTTGCCTGAGTGAGGTTATTGAATGTCTAGTCCAGGGGTCGGAAACCTTGGCACTCCAGCTGTTGTGGAACTATAAGTCCCATGAGGCATTGCAAGACTCTGACAGCAGCAGGCGTGACTCTCAGGGGCAGAGGCATGATAGTTCACTGCAACTGGAGGGACAAGGTTGCCTACCCCTGGAGACTCAGAGCCCCCAGTATAGATTGGCTCTGCTCATGTATTCTCTGGTCAATGGATATTTAACCAGTGTTTTTATTAGTGATATAAAGCTGTCACAATAGTTGTATAAAATATGACACAATCCATAGCCATAGTTAGCATTCATATTAATGTTAAATGAAAAGCATATAGTTTATTTTCCATATGCCATTTGCTCATTGGTATTGTATAGCTGATTGTTATACTGCCATCTTGTGGTTGTTTTGGGTTATTGCACCATGTTTTTCTGCATTTCCCTCACCTTGTGTGTAATGTACCGCCCTCCTTCTCCAGTACTAGTTTAGTGTCATGGCTACTTGTAACATGTCCACATGCACATTCTAGCTGGAAACATTATCATCCTTGACCTTCAAATGCCATCTATTCATTCATCTGCTGTATCGTCTGCTGCACGGAATAAAGCACGTTGTGGACGAAAAGGTATTTGGTGAGTTCAGCTATCTGATGAGGATTGTCCGCAGTGATTACATCTGCTTACACAGGCCAGGCATAGAGGTCTCAGCAAGGGATAAATCGCTACTACAACAATCGGAGTCAGAATAAAGTAAGATCAGGTCTGGCATTAGGTTAGGACTCCGATGGTCATATTTCAATAATAAATATTATATATTAATTATTTAATACATTTTAAGATTTATATTATTAAATAAACCTGAGCAGGAATAATAACAGCCACGTCGGGTATGCAGAACCGGGGACTCAAGTACAGATATCTCATCACCCGAGCCCTTGTCCCATTTATTTGTCATGTATCCTTCTAGAGTTTAATACATGAGTGCCCCGTGCATAGCTATATCACCTTACCACAGCTCTATAAAGGGAAGGTCGGTTCCACAGTTGGCCACGGAAGCAGTCAGGTTGAAGATGGGGTAAGTCCCAGTAACAGCTATGGCATTCAGAAGATGTCCGCCTGGCCGTGCTGGTTTTGGACCCACTTGGTAAACTGTAAAGGCAGCAATATTGTAGATAAACTCGTGTTTTATAGGCAATTCACATACGTGACGCCATTTGGCTATTTTAATTTGAAATAGCCAATAGAAGACTGGCTATTAAAACACCAGCAACTGAGCAGAGGAGCAGACCTGAGAGAGAAGAAAATACCACATTATGACCACTAGATCATTGGATCTCAACTGGTGGGTCGTGACCCAAAAGTGGGTCGCGACCCCATGTTATGTGGGTCGCCACATGCCTTCCACTTTTTTGGGTGAGAGGTTCCTCTGCCTCCTCCTAGCGCAGCACTGTCAGTTCTTGCGCCAAGCTGCCATTCAAAATATGCTGCCCAGCGCTGAGTGTCAGCTGGAGGTGGGGTGGGCTGGGGGTATGGCGGCGAGGGAGCTTCATCCATACATGCATTGCTTACAGCTCCCTCATGTCCTATAGAGGTGCCTGTACTGGAGTGGCATCACATTCTGGCTCCCGGCACCTCTACAGGGCACAAAAGGGAGCTGCACAATCAATGCACATATGGATGGATCTCTGTCACAGCACAGCAGCCCACTGGACCCCAGGCTGAGTATCCACCCCAGTTCTCGTAGGGTAGGGAGACTGGGTGGATCTTAAAAAAAGGAAAAAACATGTTTTGGAATGTGTGTGTGTGAGATTGTGTCTCTGGTTGTTTATGTATGTCAGTGTTTTTGAGGGCCCGCTCACACCAGTACAGTGCGTTAATAGCACAGTCCCATGCGATTAACGCACTGTATCACACAATTGCGCCTACTGTGCATTCTGGTGTGGGAGGTGTATTGCATTGCCATTCATTTGAATGGTACCCCAAACCAACCTCCCACACCCAGTTCGTACATCTGCACCAGAACGTGCGGTACCCTAATACAGTGCATTTCATTGCAGTGCAACTTGGGTCGCGCCTTAATGACCAAGGACAAATGTGGGTCCTGAGGTTACACAGGTTGAGAACCACTGCACTAGATGGAGCTGAAGATCATAGGAAATAAATAAATGTCAGTATCAAGAAACAATGTTGCAATTCTAAAGACTGCTGGAGGGAAGAAATAGTAGGCTGGGTACTAACAAGCTCCCTAAGAATAAGAGGGTGAGTGTCGAACATATCCAAGTAATAGTAGGTTGGGCACTAACAAGCTCCCTAAGAATAAGAGGGTGAGCGTCGAACATTTCTAAGAAATAGTAGGCTGGGTACTAACAAGCTCCCTAAGAATAAGGGGGTGAAAGTTCACAATTTCCAAAAAATGAGAGTGAGCATTGGTCAGATAATAAAGATGTCTATTAAATTCCATAACTTCTACCTTTTATGCTTCTATTGGCAATGACGATCTCATCAATAAAATACCAATTGTTTTCCTCATCTTCTACTTGCATCAAAAGAATCTGATCTACGTGGATTGAAGAGAGTCCATCAGCATCACCCAATGTGTCTTCTATACACATCCAAAGATCCATACAGACATAGTTCCAGCTATAATAGAAAATAAACATTCAGCTCATGACAGAAAGACATAAGTATAAGTACAAACGGAAGAAAAGCCGCACACCGGATTCCGCTGGGATAGGTTATTGAAACTTGTACAACTCTGGTGTCCCACCCAAGGACCGCCCCCTCTAACATGTTTCATTCAATCATGGGCTCAGTCAGAGGGCTTAAGAGCCTGTTTTAGGGTGCAAAGTCAAAATACCGAGCTACCATTCAATGTTGGGGCATCTTCTGTCAACAACATTAGAACATCTCCTTAAATAAATTCCAGATTTCTGATTTGAGAACATTCCATCATCTAGAATTATCATAATTATATTCCACCATAATATTATTATAATTATTATTATACAGGATTTATATAGCGCCAACAGTTTGCGCAACGCTTTACAATATAAGGTAGTCATTACAATCACAATACAATTCAAGACAAGGGGGGTGATTTACTAACCTAAACACACGCACGCACCAGGTGTGTGTGATTTTCACACAGCAAAACGTATTTATCAACCAAAAAGTCTCTAAAAGCATATTTCCACTAATGCCATATATGGAAAAATCATGCACATGATGCATATATAATGCTGCTTCACAGTTTAGACAAAAATGGTTAGCTCATGCATTTACATTCCTGCATTCATCAACGCAAGCAACACAACGTAGAGCTAATTTACCCAACATCACCTTGGAATTCATTCAGGGCTTTGCACAATACACCTGCTGGGTGTGTACACATTACAAAGGTGTTTAGATTCCACCCATAGATCATGCTGGGAGGGAACACACTGCAGAGGTGTATACACATTCGTGGTGTGTTTATAAGGTTAGTAAATCAACCCCAAGATGGTAAGGAGGGCCCTGCCCCGGAGGGCTTACAATCTAAAACGGAGGGGGAAGTGATACATGAGGAGGTAGCTGTGTGGGGATGAATTAATTGAGAACGTTATGGTTGAGCGGTTAGGTTGAGGTGGGATAGGCTTCCCTGAAGAGATGAGTCTTTAGGGAACGCCTAAAGGCAGTCAAGGTGGGAGATAGATTGACAGGTTGGGGTAAAGAGTTCCAGAGGATGGGAGAGACTCTACAGAAGTCCTGGAGCGAGTATGGGAGGAGTTATATCCCATCATATATCCCATCATAATATATCCAAAGGCTTCCAACTAACATGATGCAGCCTTACCCAGCAGGTCTAAACATTCTATATCGCAATGTCCAAATATTAGGTGCAATGGAAACCTCTTGCCTCACCATGGCAAAAGCCTTCAGAAGAAATATAGAAAACACATATAAGACCCCATACTAAGGTTTTATACGTATGTTCTGGATCCCCACAATCCATAACCAGCACCAGGACCCCCAACCATGACAATTCTATGGATTCCTCAGAGAATCAATGATTTCTGGCAGTGACGCAATACCAGGTTCTACCAGCAGGTGAAGGCTAAAAATAAAGATGCTGGGTCAGGTTGAAGAAATACAAGCTACCACTGCTGACCTTCTGAAAACACTACCCTGTTTCCCCGAAAATAAGACCTACCCTGAAAGTAAGACCTAGTTTGGTGGTAGCATGTGAGGGGGAACTTGAGGAGCAGGAGAGATGGTATCAGCCTGCAGGGACATACTGTATTAAGGGGATGACAGGGGACTCCCTCCGGCCAGCGCAGTGACAGGGCGCACTCCGGTACCATACTTCACCTACTGCTGTCCCCCTGAAGGCACTGCTTAATGTACTGTCGAGATCCACCCAGCTGTGTGATTGACAGCTGGCTCTGCCTATCTAGACTGCAGAGCCAGCTGTACCCGCCCCCTCCCCCGTCCGTTCCGCCAGTCAGCGCTGGAGGATCAGAGCGGGGAGGGAATTTTTTTTGTACAAGTCATTCTGAATTGAGAAAGCTGGTCGGATGACCAGTGAAACATCTCCCTCCCACCAGCTATGATCTGCCTCCCTTGCCTGAAGAAGCACAGAGACCCAGTGATGACACCACTGGGTCTAAAATAAGTACGTAATAAAAATGGAATGGTTTTATTTATAAATTGTATTAGCATGTTGGTAAGAGAGGGGTGGGGAGGAACCAAGAAAGACAACATATATGCAAATTAACCTTCAGCTTTAAAGGAGAACTATGGGGTCAGGGCTTTTCCCCATAGTTCTCCTAAGGGTAACGGGAGGACACAAACTAGCGTCCTCCCGTCACCCTAAACTCAGTATATCACGGGCTACAGCTGGCGGTATACTGAGACGCCGCAGCCGGGACGGATCCTGACATTGCTATCGAGATCCACCCAGCTGTGTGAGTGACAGTTGGCTCTGCCTATCTAGAGGCAGAGCCAGCTGTACCCGCCCCCTCCCCCGTCCGTTCCGCCAGTCAGCGCTGGAAGATCAGAGCGGGGACGGGGGAATCCCTGCAGGGAGCCGTGAGTGACAGTCACCGCTCTCTGCAGGGACAGGATTGAGAAGTGAGCGAGCGACGGTATGTGTTCGCTCACTTGCCGATCTATTGACCCGACGTGTGACAGTTTCATTGTCACACGTCGGCTCGTACTATGAGGATGAGTGATTTTCACTCGCCTCATAGTTCTCCTTTAGATAACTGCTGATACTTTGTACATTTATTACAATACATTCATTTAAATTGTTTTTGAAACCAAGTGAATCGCTTACCTCTCACGATCGCCCCCACGAGACTCCCAGTGGCAAGTAGAATTCTTTCTTACTGGGTTCAGTGAATTCTTTGTGGAGTTGTATGTGATGGAGACCAGAAGATCTTCCCTCAAATATCCCTTATAGGCAAAACACACCTGGAAGATGAGTGACATTAGAAGAAATACAAATCTATCCAGGATGTCATTACAACAAGAAACACCAATTATGTATCTGTAAAAAATAAATCACACCCACTGGACCTGCTGTGTTTTTCTTGAAGACGTATCACTGGTCATCCGACCAGCTTTCTCAATTCAGAATGACTTGTACAAAAAAATTATCTGGGAACAAATATGGTGAATGTTGCTCCAATCAACATATGGTGAATGTTACTCCAATCCACATAATCTGTTCATCATAACCAGCATAGGGGTCAGAGACCTCATGGAGGTAAGGTGTCGATTGCATTTGCATGATTGGAGCTGGCAGGTGCTATTAAGCTGCCCAGACATAACACCTGCCAGCTCCAATCATGCAAATGCAATCGACACTTTACCTCCATGAGGTCTCTGACCCCTATGCTGGTTATGATGAACAGATTATGTGGATTGGAGCAACATTCACCATATTTGTTCCCAGATCATTTTTTTTGTACAATTCATTCTGAATTGAGAAAGCTGGTTGGATGACCAGTGAAACATCTCCCTCCCACCCGCTATGATCTGCCTCCCTTGCCTGAAGAAGCACAGAGACCCAGTGATGACACCACTGGGTCTAAAATAAGTACGTAATAAAAATTGAATGGTTTTATTTATAAATTGTATTAGCATGTTGGTAAGAGAGGGGTGGGGAGGAACCAAGAAAGGCAACATTTAAGCAAATTAACCTTCAGCCTTAAAGGAGAACTATGGGGTCAGGGCTTTTCCCCATAGTTCTCCTTAGGGTAACAGGAGGACACAAACTAGCGTCTTCCCGTCACCCTAAGCTCAGTATACCACGGGCTACAGCTCGCGGTATACTGAGACGCCGCAGCCGGGACGGATCCCGACATTACTGTCTGGATCCACCCAGCTGAAGGATTGACAGCTGGCTCTGCCCCCTCCCCCGTCCGTTCCTCCAGTCAGCGCTAACCAATGTCTACAAGCTATATTCAAGGCATGTCACAAAACGCAGCAACATTTAAAACAATATGTTTAAATATCTCGTATTTTATTTATAACATATAAATATCATGTATTATCATTTGCAGACAGCAGGTGGAGCTGTAGGCTCCTTTTCACATGTTTTCCCCTCTTACCTCCTGTTAAAAAAAATCTGTTGTTTACAGAGTTCAATAGCTCATAAAATTAGTGCGGGTGCTCCAGTCAAGGCTAGGCTTATCAAGGTGTGACTGAGTATATTAGAGCTGAAGTGTACACATATAATATCTTCCCTTAAACGTCACCCCCTCCCCCACCGCCTTTCCCCAGTCAACATGCAGTTTTTCAAACATTAAAAGGAGATCTATGGGGTCAGGGCTTTTCCCCGTAGTTCTCCCAAGGGTCAAGGGACAACACAAACTAGCGTCCTCCCGTGACCCACACCTCAGTAGCTCGCGGTATACTGAGACCGCCGCAGCCGGGACGGATCCAGACATTACTGTCGAGATCTACCCAGCTGCATGATGGACAGCTTGCTCTGCCAATCTAGAGGCAGAGCCAGCTGTACCCGCCCCCTCCCCCGTCCGTTCCGCCAGTCAGCGCTGGAGGATCGGGGAGGGGGGGGGCTCCCTGCAGGGAGCCGTGAGTGACAGTCACGGCTCTCTGCAGGGATAGATTGAGAAGTGAGCGAGCGACGGGATGTGTTCGCTCACTTCCCGATCTATTGAGCCGACGTGTGACAGTTTCATTGTCACACGCCGGCTCGAACTATGAGGATGACTGATTTCCATTCACCTCATAGTTCTCCTTTAAGCAAATATTTTTTTGTGAATGTGTTACAAAGCTATCAACTTAAAGACCCTGCCGGTGACATCACTTCCTGTTGCAGGCTGACAATACTATGTCCTTGCCTCACATTTAGCAGCAGTGTGATCCTTCAGTTGGCCATTGGGCTGCCTATCACATAGCTAATATACTGAAGGTCACCATATCCTGGAGTTCCACTTTAACTGGTTGAATGGGTCACAAGATATCTTTCATTTTGATTTTTCACTCTATTCATAAACTCACATGGCTGTGATGGTTTATCTCCAGTGTTTCCATTGGACTAGATCCCTTCAGAATGTGTGTAGGTTTGAAGATGCTGAACATCCCACAGTACGGCTCCGTCCACCCTGCCTTCACTCCACCCGTGCCGGGCTCATTCATCTCATCTAACGTATACAAAATGGAAAGAGGAATAAAGAGACACCAAACATGTCAAGCCTTAAAACTGCGCGTGGCTATGCAACCGCAAAAAAATGACGGTACCCAAAATTATCCATAGGTGACACTTTAACCCTTTCACTGGCATAAGGCTTACACACTCCTAGGTGCTATAGCAGCCATGTCAGGGCCCGGATCTGAACCCAGGGCCTCTGCTGTAACTGGTGGTGGTTCTACCTGCTGAGCCACCTTAGAACCTTGGATAGCTCCTTGCCTGCTCTCATGTGTAATCCTCAGTTATAACTAATCAGATGCTGAACTCTGACCTCCTTGCTCCTCCATTGAACTTAGGGTTGCCACCTTTTCTTCAAGCGAAACCCGAACACTCCAGCAACGCACGGTCATTTTTGTGGTAGAATGGGTCGCGGCTTGTTCAAATGTAAAAAGTGCTGCCCATTCATATGTAAATATCACAGTAGAGACTATTTTCAGTGGGGGGGCCAGTAGCCCCTATCCTAATTTTGGTTGCCCCTGTCTGCCTGACATCTTGTGTCCAGGTCTCAGCTGACATGAAACCCGAACACAGCATTCAAAAACCCGAACTGTCCGGGTGAATCCTGGACAGGTGGCAACCCTAATTGAACTTCTTATTTAAGCCACGCCTCTGCACTTCCTGTTTGCCAGATTATTGTGCTCCTGACAATATCTTGCTTCCTTGCTCCTCCTGTGATACAATCCTCTCATAGTGCTACCCGTGTACCGACCTTTGGCTGCTGATTCACCGACTACTCTCATCGTCTTCCGCTTCATACCTGATACCTTTGGCTCCTGACCTCGGCTTGTTCACTGACTACGCTTCTGCCTGCTCCTATACTACTACCCTCTGCTTGTGTACCGAACTCAGCCTGTTATACCACGAATTTGCCTGCAATTTCAGCCGCTGGACTCTGAGCCTGATCCCAGATCGTGACAAGCCGGGACTGTGTTCATCCAACACAAGCTGACTGTAGGCTTTGTGCTGGAAGTAATTCGGGTGGCTCCACACTTCCACGTACATAAGAAGGTGTGCCCCTTGCTCGCCTGGGGCCCCACTGTGTATCCCGGACTATTCAACCACCCCCCGCAGGCTTGGGACAGCCATGGCAGATGTCAGTGTCAAGATGGGAGGGAGACGAGCAAACATCTACTCACTTGTCTCCTCTTCTGTGATTGAACCTGGAAGCTATGATGTGTTTGTCACTTCCGGGTCATTTACCAGCCACAGAGGCCGGGAAAAAGCTGATCAAAACAATCTATGCTTGATCAGATTCAAAAGGAGTAGAAAGGTGACATTAGGAGTCTAATAGATCCCTAATGTTACCTAAAGAGAACCTGTCACCTATAATGTTCTATGACATAAGGGGCCTATTAGCTGGAAAACTGGAATTGCCCTTTAGGATTGGTAAACTACAACATGCTAAATTTTAGTTTTTGGGTTTAGATGGTGCATTTATAAACAGTTTGCAGAGCCATTCACCCCGGGAATGTACATTCGTTCTGTGCAAATGGAGGCATAAAAGGAATGCTATTAGCATGCTTTCCTTCCAGAGCGAATGTAATTTCTGGTGGATACCAGATTATGGCCACTAGATGGAGCTGAGGGGCATAGGAAATAAATACTTCTTTCCTATGCTCTTTAGCAGCATCTAGTGGCCATAATGTGGTATTTACCTCAAATTAAATTTCCTACCGTCCCTGGAAGGAAAAATATGCTAATATCATTGGTGTTTGTCTCCATGTGCATAGAACTAATGTTCATGCACTTTTGCAGGGTGAATGTTTGTAAACTGTTTATAAATGCCCCCCTAAGTAATGACAAACTGCCCCATAAGCATGTAAAAATTGCCCTGGTCCACTCCATAGGTGGTATTCAAGTGTGAGATCTGAAGTGGTTATTGGTCTACTATCTTTAATATAGTAATTTCAGACACCATTAGCCTTTAGTGGAGCTTGTCCTTAAAGTAGAACTATGAAGGTGAGTGCTTTGCACTCAGCCTCATAGTTCTAGCCGACCTGTGACAATGAAACTGTCACACGTCGGCTCAATAGATTGGCAAGTGAGCGAACACATACCGTCGCTCGCTCACTTCTCGATCCTGTCCATGCAGAGAGCGGTGACTGTCACTCACGGCTCCCTGCAGGGATTCCCCCGTCCCCGCTCTGATCCTCCAGCGCTGACTGGCGGAACAGACGGGGGAGGGGGCGGGTACAGCTGGCTCTGCCTCTAAATAGGCAGAGCTAGCTGTCACTCACGCAGCTGAGCGGATCCAGACATAATTGTCGGGATCCGCTTCAGCTGCGGCGTCTCAGTATACCACAAGCTGTAGCTCGCGGTATACTGCGGCGTCTCAGTATACCGCTAGCTGTAGCTCGCGGTATACTGAGCCTAGGGTGACGGGAGGACGCTAGTTTGTGTTCTCCCGTTACCCTAAGGAGAACTATGGGGAAAAGCCCTGACCCCATAGTTCTCCTTTAACCAACGAGTCTCATAGTCCTTACATTATCATCTCTTATGGCTCACCTTCTTCAAACCCATAACTGTGGAATATATCCCCCATGGACGGCTCTGTGACACAGCGGACTGACAGCATGTCTTTAATGGCCGACTGTATCTGCAGGAACAAAAGGACGACACCAATGGCTACAGAGGACAACACGGAAGGATACGTTTGCATTATTCCCTTGACTACAGACGGATACTCACTTCCTCCGCGGTGCTGTTCGGGTGAACCGTTTTGCTGGCTACACCGTCCCAACAAAACCGGACCAAGCCTTCTCCTGAGAAAGTCAGCTTCTGAAGAATAAAGCAATTACATATCAATGATCAACAATTGCACATCATTGATAAACAATTACATATTATTGATAAACAATGATGCATTATTCATCGACAAAAATGACAACTTGTTTTAGGATGACTATATACAATTATCCTACCAATGTTAATTGCAGATCTTTACTAGTTTCTCTTTTGTAGTTTTAAATATGTTTTGAGTTTGTGAATCGCAGTGCTATTTTTCTTGTTTCCTATCTTTTGTAGTTAACAAGGCTAAATGAGTGGTGTGTGGAGATTCAACCTTTGCCATCATCACCTAACGAGTATCTGGAGGCAAAAACAAACGTTCTTAGTATATTTTCTTTCCAAGTTGAATGTAATATTATAAAAATACCACATTATGGCCACTAGATGGAGCTGAGGAGCATAGAAGTTAAATACTTTTTTTCCTATGCTCCACAGCTCTGCCTAGTGGCCATATTGTGGTATTTTTGGAATATTATTCATGGAAACATTCGAATTTATGTGTTGATAGAAATGCTGCCAGAAAGACAAAGGCCAAACCCAAAGAGAAAGCAGAATTTTAGAAATCCGATCTCACTCTCCTTACCTGGATTTCAGGAAGTTGGGAAGACTGGGCCACTATCTGGTGCTTCTCTCTTTGGTAAGTGTTCACTACTTCTGGATTCAGCCAGGTGTTGTGAATCTGAACGCCGACCTTCATGCCGGATGACGGTCCTGCGCCATACTGTAACATCTCTAAGTAATATTTCTGGCCACGTAAAAGCTCCATTTTGGAGGATTTCTGTTTCCAGCGGTCATCCCAGTCCAGCTCCCAGCGCTCGGTCCATGTTGAAATGCCGTGTGGTATGGAGGCAACCTCAAACTTCAACACAATAAATATACAAATGTATTAGTACTGTATGAAAAAAGTTCTCTTACTCAGCTCAGAGAGTCTTCTCATCCACTGCAACCAATCAGATTGTATCCTTCACTTTCCTATATGGGAGCGTGCATGAAAGGGAGTTCTCTATGCGGTATACTGTATATATAGAAAAAACTCATAGCTGTTCAATAAGCCAACCTGCATGTATATTGCACTTGTTGTAAGGATGGGGACACATTTAATGTTGTTGGAATATTTTCTCTTCTGGTTGAATGTTCTTTAACTATTTTTGTCAGTAATAAAAACAGGTTAATTCATAAAGAACTTACAGGGTTATTCACAAAGCTAGCCGAAGGATCAGCCGTAGCTCTGGCTGATCCTTCGGCTAGCTTCGGCCACTGGAGCTTCGGACGCTGAACCGAAGGGCTGCTGTGCGGGCTATTCACTACAGCCGGTACTTTACCTGGGGACGCTGAACTTTCATTAAACAATGACAACTGGGCGGAGCCGGCTGTGACGTCATGATGGCTATTTGTTATTCATTGCCTAGTTGTTATTCATTGGCCGGGACCAATAGAAAACAGTTGGGCGGAGCAAGCACTGCTAGCTCCGCCCAATTGTTTCTTTTTTATTTATTCTTTATTTTTTCAATAATCCTTTATTTTTTTAATTTTTTGTGTGAAATCTTTATTTATTTTGTTAAATGTATCATTATTTTACATTTTTAAAAAAAACGTTGTCAACTTTTTTCCCCCCACTGTTTTTCTATTCTGCTCGGTACCACGGAGGTGTTGAGCAGAATAGCCAAGCCGAATGCTGCTCGGCTGCATTCGACTATTCACTCACTGCTGTTCGGCCCCTATGTGAATAGGGGCGAACGGCAGCGAGTGAGCTGCCGGAGCTTTGGCTCAGCCGATCCAGATGTTAGATCAGCTGAGTCGAAGTCCTTCTGCACTTCGGCTCAGCCGAACATGGTTGACCGAAGTGCGGCCCGAAGGCTGCCGATGTATGGCTGAAATCAGCCGTACAAGCCTGTAGTGAATAGCCGAACAGCATTCAGCTCACTTCACTTCGGCTGGGTTATTCACTCGGCTGCCCTTGGCAGCTTTGTGAATAACCCCCTTAGTGAATGGGGAAAATACCACATTATGGCCACTAGGTGGAGCTAATCATAGGAAACAAATACTTCTTAGTAACAAGAGATACGTTGGCAAAGCACAGGAACATAAACATGTTGGCATTCTGTTCATGCAGACATAGGTGCAACAATCATTCTAAAAAATATTACTATTACTGTATACGGGCTGCTTTCGTTTTGAGACTGGAAATATCATTTCTGACACAATACTGGAATATCTCTTCTCTGATGATTCTACAGATTTTCATAGTTCTGGTTCCCGGGCTCCACTATGTGTAAGTATAAAATATTACCTTTGTTTCAGCCGCCTCCGAAGAACTGAAGAAGAGCTGAGCTTTACTGTCCGCCTGTATCCAGAATGTGTAATTGTTTGTCTCTGGACACACGAAGAATCCTTGTAGCCTTGCACTGTATGGAGAGAAATCTTGGTCAATGATTGTAGAAGCTGATAATCCAACCAGACATACACATTAGTAAAAGGTCAGTTCAACCAAAATGAATTTATAGCCATAGGAGGAGTCTGGTGTACAAGGTCAACCTCATAGTTCCTGCTAGAGAGGAGGCAAGGCCTTGACTTTCCGGGCCAGTGTCAGGATTTGTATATTGGGTTGGACCAGTTTAGGGGTTTAGTACACATGGGATCCTCTCAAATGATCTCTGATCGCACTGTTCGCCGTACACTGCATCGTATGGGATATGGAAGGCCGGTTCAAACACCTTTGCTGTCTGCAGGTCTTGTAGGCAAATTAGCTATAATTTGGCGCTGAAGTTGCTAGAGGACCAGACCATTATAAATAGGGAAGCAGGTTGTTTACCACGACAGTAGAAGTGATTTGTTTCTGAAGATACGGGGAAACAACGCGATGTAACAGCCTTTGAACGCGGGATGATTGTTAGCGCTCGGAGCCATGGAGCGAGTATCAGCAAAACAGCAGAATTCATTACATGTTCAAGAGCAGCCGTTGTTAAAGTGTTTAAAGACCGGACTGTCAGCCGAAAATCTGGGTCTGAACGTGCGAATTGTGGCCGTCAGCGACTAGTCAATGTTAGGGCAGAACGGGGGAGGGGCAAGACTGGTACAAGACAGCAGAAGGGCAACAGTGTATCAAATGACTGCAGATCTTAATCAGGGATCCTCTCAAATGATCTCTGAACGCACTGTTCGCCGTACACTGCATCGTATGGGATATGGAAGCCG